GGTAACATCAAGGTGCACGGATACTTTTTCAGCTAGAATGACTTCTCACGATATAGCCGTTCGTGTTACGCCGAATAAGTATAAACTCACTGTTGTACCACAAAATGTGAGAGATATAGGAGAATTCGCCGCAGAGGAATATTCAGCGATTTGGATAATTAGTGTGTTCTCTAGGCCTGGCGCAAGGAACATTCGTAAGGTTGATACACCACGCAAGTATATATTCATGTCAGACATTCTGTGTTTCTGATAACTACAACATGTAACCAACAGCATGAAGAAAAATATCAGTGACAGCCACTTAATCCGGCTCAACGGAACAGCATTATTTGCGTCGGCAACTATACAACCAACTAACAAGTGGGAAATATTGTCTTTATTTCAAGAAATTCTTTCGCTCTCAGGATAATTCACATTGGTTCTTAAGCACAGGGATTGGCGCAGCCGGGGAAGCACCAATAAAGTTCTTTCCAGTCCACTTTTCCGTATCTAGCCGCCCGTCGAATAACCTCGCAACACTGGTGTAATTGAAGTCTCAGCTCTTCACTTATGAAACATCCATTGACCACCTCCCAAACATGCTAGCCATAGCATTAAAAATTTCGCCAGATAACTTTGCAACTTCCACGCTAATCCTTCCTGTAGTGAACGGAAGAATAAAATAAATGCGCGAACATACCTGGGCACTGTAACTATAATTCGGCCATGTGGTCTGGGTGTCAATCTATCGATGGAATTCGGTAGCTGGGTAGAGTTCGTTTGCACAATAGAGACAGCTTTCACTAACACACATTGCTTGTAGTATTTCCGTCCCCAACATCCAAGTGTCATGCTCAATTTGGTCCCTTCAAAACAATGGCTATAGAGCTCTCCATGTACACGCCGGTAACAGTATATGTTACACGAGTGAAAGCGGTCAAGATAGATCTCTCTGGGATAGTTGAGAGTAAGTCGTTCGACTAGATTTCAAACACTTACCCTTCCCTGATTTTCAGACATGTCGTGTTATCGCAGTATCCAGAGCGGCTGCTAACGGTCCTGAGGTATAAGGAGGCCGTATATAACTCCATTATTTCAACAAATTGTTTGTACCAATAGGGTTTTACCAACACACTGCAGTCAGTGAAACATTAGAAATCTGCCTATTCGCACCATTGAGCGGACTGCTTACTGGCTATTTCAGCTTAGTCCTTATGGAGCTCTCCCTCAACATAGTAACGGTTTTCAATATTGCTCGCTGCGATTTTCAAAGTGTTGTCTGACATCACCTCCAACACAAAACCTACCAGAAGTGTATAGCACAACCATTAGTCATCCATGGAGATGGACGAGGCGGCGTTGATATTTCTCCGAAAGCACTCATTGGGATTAGGATCACGTAGCTGTATGTCAAGATTTATGCGCATACTAGCTAGCACACACGATTCATCAAACACGTCATATTCATGTGCGACGTGGTACAGGCGTCTGTAAGTGCATACGCCTTGTACAAGGGGAGCTGTCTGTCCGAGAGTATTGTAGGTGAAAGACCTGGCTTTACAAGGCTCAACGCCTAACTAGGAGCGTTAGACAGGCTGCGAGCATCCACTCCGTTTTTCTGCCCTTCTCTAAAGATACTTGACACTTGGTAAGTGGTGGTGCACCTTAGTAGACCCGAGTGTGGCTTAGGAACGTTATAAAATGGGGGATTCATGTCACTATGTCTTGGAACTTGGAAATCTATTTGCCCAGTAGTGCAGAAGTGCTCTTAAAAGGACCTTCGTGTTAATCAATAGCACATGATTCTATGATGAGTAGTTTTGGTGTACGGAACCATTCGCCAATACGAAGAGCCGCTGCGATGGGTGACAACTCAAACGATTGACAGGGGTTAGACCGTGACATGATAACGTAACTAGCACGCCGGGGAAAAATAGGTACCAGGAACGTTTTCAAAACTTTAGGATCGACACACGTATCGTACCAAGACACGGACTAGCCGCTCCTGCATTTCATCTTAGAGGACAATTAAAGCTCCCTGTCCGACTCGTTGAAGCGACCGAGTGGCAGACATCGTGATGAGAAAGCTGCTATCCATGCGTTTGCACATCTGTCCATGAATTGACGACATCCGTCCAAATACGCGTGCTTTGGCGGCTACTATTTTAGCTGAACTCTTGGCGCAGCTGTTCCAGCACTGTCTTGACGAGCGGCACGTTCCTGCAATGTGGAAACACAGAATAATAACTCACATTTACAAAGGGGGTAGTCGTTCCGACTCAGCTAATTATCGACTAGTGACTCTACCGCCAGTTCTTTCAAAAGTTATGGAGGCTATCATTGCCGACGCACTCATGTCATATCTGGACGCCTTGAGTTACATTGCTCAGCAGAAACACGGCTTCCGCCAGAATAGGTCGTGCACAACTAACCTATTGCTAGCACGAGACAGTTGGACCGAAACTGTGGGTACTGGTGCAGGAGTTGATGTGGCTTACGTGGATCTCTCTAAAGCATCCGACAGGTTGGACCATCGTATCATTCTCGCCAAACTTCAAGAATGTGGCATTTGGGACTCTCTCCTTAGGTGGATCTGCAATTTTCTCTCGCACAGGCGTCTGGAGGTGAGAGTATGTGAATCCATGTCAGACCCAATTCACATCGAATGCGGTGTGCCACAGGGTTCGGTACTAGGGCCCTGTCTATTATTGGTTTTTATAAACGATCTAGTGAGTCAAATTGCGTCAAACTGTTCACTCTATGCTGATGACATTAAAGTTTGGCGAGTGATCAGAGCTCCAGAAGATCGTATTCAGCTCCAAATCGACCTTGAAAAGATTGATGTATGGCCGGTCCTAAATCTCCTTTTCTTCAATGTGGCTAAATATAGAGTGCTCCATATAAGACACTGAATGGTTCACACATAAGCTGGGGGACCAGAATCTGCAACACTGGTCTCGAAAAGGATCTCGGTGTGTAGGTCGAGGAAGATCTCGGCTGCTCGTAGCAGTCCAAAAAGGCATCGAAGAAGGAGATCCCAATCGGGGGACATTTTAAGGACAGTTTTCGGGCAATTCGAACCGTTGATTTTCCGGCAAATACTTCCCGCTTCTATACGCCCTCATCTTGCATATGCAATTCAAGCATGGCACCCATAGCTGAAGCGGGATCTTACGGTGTTGGAGCTTCCACAAGGTCGGGCGACCAAAAATGTCATGGGACCGCGCCACTTATCATCCGAACAGCGCCTCAGAATGCTTGGCATTTACAGTGGATGTTATCGCCGTTTGCGTGGTGACCTAATCATGGTTTAACAGATATTAAACAACACTAATCACCCCTGTCATCACTTATTGAAGCTGAGTCACGACAGCCAACTCAGTGGTCCTCATCTCAAATTGGTAGAACAATACAGTCGGTTGGAGTGTCGAAGAAACTTCTTCTCGCTGTGTGTTTGCCACACGTGGAATGCCCTCTCAGAAGCTGTTATTTCAGCCACTACGTTAGCCGTGTTCAAAGCACGTGTCGACAGTGCACTGGCCACACTACGCCAAATCACGTAATCCAAACGGCCCATATAAACAGCAGGAAAACAAAAACAAACCAACCCACTTTCATTTTTGTCGGGAAATCACAGGCGATAACCTTGGACAGTACATAAAACAGACGGGACCGCTGTAATCGGCAAGTTCGTAATTTGCGGTTGTCCACTATTTCCCATTGCAATTTTTGCCTTCATTTTGCTCACCCCTAACCGATCATCAAGCGGGAGATGTCAAGCTTCGGCTTTTTTTATCTGCAACATACCACTGATCATTCTTTGTTAGTGCACACAAGTTTATAATAATAAATAACCCGAACAACAATCTACATATTTAAACTGTTTGGATTGTGCAGTATTATTGCTAGTACAAATTCGAACAAAATTTGTATCATCGTGTCGCCTGGCTCATGGGATTTCCAATGTGTTTATAAAACTAAAACTACAAGATAGCTTATCCTTTTATACGGGTTTGCACTCAGCTTGCAGGAAAGCTTCTATGCGTTTATGTTTCACCTACTGAAACCCTATATCACATGCCAAGCCAAAGCAGAGAGCCAGATCACGGCTGTGAACTCACCGGCCTTGTATTGTATTGCTTCATTCCTTAAGACTCGAATTAGGTGTGATTTCATTCATCAGAATAGTTGTTCTATTTATTTGTCTATCCCGGTTTACCTGACCGGATCTACTTCACGCTCATTCAAAGGTTATTTATGATCATTCCAAACCCGTAATTCGTTCCGATTCAGTTGCTCATGAAAGAACATAGACTTCGCTTTACTTGTTTAGTAACTTACACTTATTTGCTATCTCGGGGATTCAGAGTACAGAGTTGTGTAATTACTTTATTCAAAACAATTCCAAAGCGTACATTTGTCATGTTTACAAAAAGATGTGTCGCATGACAGTCTAGCAGCCCCATCAGTATCCGTTGCCGTACAATAGTTCGAATCCTAACTTCATAATGGCAAATTTGCGCCACAGTATGCGATTTTCACTGTTGGGCCTCTGGATCAATCCATTTCAATTGCTTTCAAAGTGGCGTTCTGGCAAATCGACCTCTGTTAACTTGTGAACATGTCCTACACTTGATCCGCAAGTCAGTTATTAAGTTGGGGACAAGTTGGAAAATGTAAAACGCCATCTATCACACTTGTGCATAACGTTTGTTAAATATGCTCATACATAGTAACACAGAGATTTACAGAAAAGACTCAACAGTGTGTTCAAAAGGTTTTGTGGGTGGCATACCCACGTTAAATTCGTTCCACTATCCACCCTGTTCATTCAATTCCATCGTCTTTCTTTTTTTCATACACATGGTAAATATGAAGCGTTGCCACTCGTTTTTCGTTTTTCCAAATCTGTGCAGTATACTGAGACCCGTATGATATTCGGTAACATCCGGATCAATCTGTGATGTAAACTCTGTACTTTGACCGGATGCATTGCATTTTCTTGCCTATTCTTCTGATAGGATTGCCTGGACTGGATGGGAAACGTGGTAAACAAGGTGGCCCAGGCTCCCCTGGGCGCAAGGGGGAGAAAGGTTTTCCTGGCAGGGATGCATTTGGCGAGAAGGGAGAAAAAGGAGCTCGAGGATTCCCTGGGCCAGCCGGAGCACCGGGTAAGGTCTCACATCATCATCATTATCATCCTTGTTACGACGTAAATACGTTAAACGGAATCACGTCGCATGAATTGTATATAAATATTGCTACTTCGATCTATAAACCTAGACTGTATGCAAGATGTGGGCAGAAATCGGTTGGGACGGTAGCATTTTTAATACAGTCCTGTAACCGTGATTCTAAAGGGTCGAATAATGTACTCAGGACAAGGTTTACAACATCCGGTCGGCTGGTGGAAACAGGTCACTGTAACTAATGATAATAGCACACTTGAATTTGTGAACATGTACCGCTCCAGGTTATTCGGAAAGGTCAGTTATGGGTACCTGGCTATTCAAAGAGCAAACAACTTCCTTTTCTATGCACTCCGTTGCTTCTTATCATAGTCTCCACACACACCCACACACGCATATATATATATATATATATATATATATATATATATATTCGCGCGAAGCTATTGAAGCAGGAGAGATTCATCTCACAACGGATGCATGCCGTCTCATGCTTAACGGAAGAGTTAAGTAAGTCCTTTGAAGGAAACGTAGACCAACATAAGAAGAAACGGGGTGCACAGAAAAGAAGGGAATGATTAGTTCGTTGAATCGCAGGATGATGAAAGCGTAACCTTGAGAAAAGTGAATGCAAACTAGTGCGTATAACACAACATTGGTTTGAGCATGCAATGGTCTAAAGCACGAACAGCATGCTATTAGCTCAGAAAGTGGAAAGAGGTGGGAATAGGATCACTGCGCCATCAAGAGAGAATAATTTATCTGGTGCAGAAAACCGAGTCCTTTGGGCTTTACGATCCTCCCCCTACTCCTCCTTCTCATCAACAGTAGTACATCAGCCATTTGAACTGATGCTTCGCTGCCGTACAACCATGGTGACCTACGGAACGAAGAGTAATAACAGGGAGAGAATTGGGCACCGCGTAAAACTGTAATGCCCTTATTAAACTTTAGGGTCAAGGCACCTTTCATTTGCGTCAACAACATATCTTCACAAACAGCTTGCTAACGTGCAAATATATGGTCTCACAGTGAAGCAAACAGGTTCTGTAGACCTACATGAATCTTAAGGTTCAGAGTAGATTAGATTTATTAAGATAGCTTGTCTCATATGTTGCTGGTTAATAGAATTCCCCTAGTTATCTATGGAATTTCGATTACGTCTGTTCAAACACCCACCCCACAGATGAAGTGTTTTATCGGACAATATAGGTCCTACCATAATAGAAGAATCATCTGCTTACGTCGCAATCGCCTCGCATCCAGGCCACGGTTTTTATGCTTTTCTATCGGCAATCGGCTGTAATGGGTAATGCATGCAGCATGGTTGCTTAATGCCATCAGATCATATTGTATGCAAGTTCGGAGAGGAAATCTCGAACGCGCTAATCGTAGTGTCTCAGTTTGGGGATAAAACTGTTAAATACACGTCGTACAGTATCCATTTTGTTAAAGCGGCGGAACGCACTATTAAAATACTGAATTTGTCCCATCCCGTTTTAGGTGAAAGAGGATTGCCTGGTACTCCAGGCCTGATTGGTGATCCGGGGGATCAAGGCCCAACAATCGACGGGCCACCGGGACCAAAGGGCGTGAAGGGATTGCCGGGGCTATCTGGACTTCGAGGTCGAGATGGTGATCCAGGACCTCCAGGACCAAAAGGGGACTGCGTTGTTTGTCCAGATGGGCGGCCAGGTTTACCTGGACCAAAAGGGTTCCAGGGGCCTCCAGGACCTGCGGGTCTACCAGGTCTGGATGGTTCACCTGGCCAAAAGGGTCTTATTGGTCCTCAAGGTCGAGATGGCCTGCCGGGCTTCCCTGGGATGAAAGTATGTTGACAAGAGGAATATTCTTGCTGTGCACTGAGAAACATATCATATACAAAGAAAAAATATGCTCCATGCATTTTGTTTCTTAGGGAGAGAAAGGTGAACAGGGTAGTGATGGACCACGCGGACCGAAAGGCGATCCGGGTCCCGTGGAGTTTGTGAATGCCACCGTTCCAGAAGCACCGCGCGGAGAAATCGGCATTCCAGGTAGGGCAGGAGTTGTTGGTGAGCCCGGACCTAAAGGATATCCAGGACCGAAAGGTATGCCTGGACCGATTGGAGCGAAAGTAAGTTTGGTTTTTCTATGAATTCTAAGAGCCACTCCCGTCAATGGGCTACCTGATTATGTCCGATGTCTAATTGCCATCTACACAGGGACAACCCGGATTACCCGGTTTACCAGGTTTCAGTGGTCCGGCAGGTCTTCCGGGACGTCGGGGTGAACCCGGCCCACCTGGTCGGGTGTTTGATGCGCGCAAAGGTGCTCCTGGGGTGCCTGGTCGAGACGGAATGAAGGGGGTGAAGGGTGAACCCGGAGATCCCGGTAAGCTAAAAAGTATTAACAATTGTCTTTTATCATGATCCATCTTTTAAATGGTCTGGACAACGAGCACTTATTTATAATGGGTAAAGCAGCGAGCTTACTAAGTCTCATAGGATGACAGAAGAAAGTATAAAAACAACGGTAAAAATGACGGGTAGAAAGCAGGAAAATTCGGGTTTTAGATGACCAATCATACGATTCACTTAAACACAGAAGTTCCTCCACCACTACTTTAAGCAGAGAGCTGGGGGCACACTGTTTGTTGGCATTAGTTCGTCTTCAAATTGAAACGCACTGTGTTGCGTAATGCAAATGGGACAGCGTTTCGTCAAGCAGACTTTAGCAAAGTGTTAAGATTGGAGCAAAAGTGACGTGTGTGGGAGGAGCGTTCCATGTTCGAGACACTAGAAAAGAGAGGGACTTTTGTCGTTTATCAAGTTCGCTGTTGTCTGTGCGACCTGATTATGGCATACTTGATTCTGCGAGACCCACATCATGTGTGCCGCCCTTTACTGCAACTCAGCAGCAATACAAACCTGAGGGGCCACTCATTAAAACTCGCAGAACAATACAGTCGTCTGGAGTGCCGCAGCAATTTCTTTCCATTCGTGTCTGTCACCCGTGGAATGCTCTCCCAGAATCGGTCGTCTCTGCACCGACACTAACAGTATTTAAAAGACGGTTGGACGATGCACTCATCCACTTACACTTTGTTACTTAACACTACGTCTCCATCCTACACCTGGAGTTCACCATGGAATTATTTCTTGTTAACTGTGGATGCTGTGAATCTAAGAGGATCGCAGGACTGCAGCGAAGCAAACGATAAGTCCTTATTTTCATATTTAAAGTATTAACTATTTTACTATCCTTATCATCATTAGTGTTATGTTGATATCCCCTGCAACTATCCAACGGGACTTGTAAAGCAACGCTTCTTAACCCGTATAAATTCATTGTTCATTGTGGCAAGTTTGGGCTGGTGGACTCTCGAGTTTATGTTTTCTTGGCGCGGTCACAACAGATCGCGGAAGGCGTGATTGGGGTTCACCAGTATTAAGTACACCATCCAATGCAAAAGCTTGCGGTTTGGGTTGGTTGGGAAAGTGAAACAAGCCCCTTACTATTCTGGCCACTATACCTTGTGGGGATTCATGTGCATCAACACCGTGCTTACGCCAGGGACGCTGTTTCGATGGTATATACTGTAAGGGGCAAATTATATACATCAAAGCTTCATGGAAGTCAGAGTGCTCGAAGTTCTCAGACTCCCTCCATGGGAGACCAAGTTTCTGACTGTCTCTTCTCGGTACCTTTTCGGCCTGTTTCGAGCATCCAAGTTCATTCTGAACAAAATTAATCCGTGATCGCTTTCCTGGGTATCACGGCGCAATTGCTGTTTCCGAAGCCGATATTCATGGGTACCATGATAGTGTGTGCACGAATCGTTAAATTTTGTCACTTTAACGTGGAGCCGATTCCGGGAAGACTTCGTATAGTTTGTGTTGAGATTGCGCTGCAGTGTGATTATCCACTGTCTTATTGTCAGGCCGGATATTGACCTCGTATACAAAATGTAGAAAGTTTGTCTTGAGTAAACTAGCAAGATCAATTATGGAGACTAGGAGTCCATGTGCCCCTAATATCGATCAATGGGTTACACCACATCAGAATTCATTTGGATCGGAAGAGCTGTTGCGGATATTCACGTTCAACTGGGGTTGAATGAGAAACTCGCTTAACGACTGGGTGACCGATTCCATAGCTCCGACTCCTGTAAAGGAGAATACTATGATCCAGTCTGTCGAATGCTTTTGAGAAATCCAAGTATATCGCGTCGACTACTACTGTAGTATCGAGAGATTCCGTCTATTTTACACGGCCTGACATCGAGTTTGTAGTGCATGATCGAATTCGGCTTAATCCGTGCTGTTTTGACACTAATGCTGTTACTCTGTTAATAACCCATGAGCGCCTCTGCGATAACACCTTCCGTAACGCTGGATCCCACCGGGATAAGAGTTAATGGACTGTAGTTCGCGGGCTTTGCATGGTTACCATCCTTATAGATGGGAATGCTTATTTTGTTACCACATCGTCACCAAGGCAATACTGAAAGTACCAAGCCAACGATTGGGTGATGTTTACGGTGGCTGTCTTTAATGTTTACGAGTGCTTGTCCCTCATACGAGCAGAGTTGTGCACGTCCGAATTCCATGAGCTTTTCATCAAATTCGCTGCTGTGTAGGATGTGTGTATTAGCCCTGAGAATGGGGTGAGCTGTGTCAAATGTGGGGGAGATGACTGTTCATTCTGAAAAGTAAGGACGAAGCGCTGCCGAAGCGCGTTGGCCACCACTTGTGTAGTTTTTGCTAGGTCATCTGATGCATGTAGAATTGGGATCTCGCGTTGCACCCTGCAGAGCTTGTTGATATGACTGTAGAGCCTTTCAGGATTGAAGCTGGATTTCATCGCTAAATAATGTTAGTGCTTGAGCTTGTCTTCGCGGGCCAATATGACACAGTGGTTTCACGTGTGCTTCGGCAGGGTTTATAAGTATGTCCGTCTCCTCAGAAAAAACTACTTGGTTCGGGCGAAAGTATTTCGTTTCCGTCGCATTTGTCATTAACCCGGTGAAAAGTGACAAACTCCCTCCAAGTGACATCGTGGCCGTTTATGCTAGAAAGGATAACTTGGTTGCTTGAACGAGGTCAAAAACGGTGTCATTAACAGTGATGAGGTGGGCTCTGTCGGTATTTTTACTGATGTATTCCGCGTAACAGATGTAACAGAACAGCAGCGTCGCATGCTAGCTACGGCCAAACGATTCATGTAGATGTACTGTACGAATCACCAGCTCGTCGTTCGTGAGCACGGGATCTAGGACTGACAGTTTTTCAGTCGTACTGGATCGTGTGGGAGAGGTGACATAGTTGTGTAGCTGTAAATCGGTGAATACTTCTTTCAAGTCCACCTTGAGTTTTTCGCTGAGAAAACCCGGGACTTCGACTGCATGCAATCTGAAGTCTCAACGAGAAGGACGTGACTACATGACCATCTTAGAAGACACCTCATAGCAGAAGCAATATGGTGATATAATTCCAAGGCAGACATTGGAGAGCAGTTAGCTATTACAATAAAACACACCACCACATTCCAAGTGCCGACGGCACCAAATGAAACTGACAACGCGTTTTTGGTTCGTCGATAGTATGGAAATATAGGTCAGGGAGGTGGCACAAGATTACCACATCTCGTTTACTAGGTCAATCTTTTTGTCGGAAAGGCATGCCTGGCATAGATGTCTCATCATCAGTAAGCTGAGCGTTTTGATCCAGGCCGACCTTGGCCGTTTGAGCCAGCCTAAGAAGGCATCAAGAAGAGACATCCAAAACGTGGGCCTCCCATTGCGTGCATTCGGATGATTTGACTCGTCAATTTTCAGCAGCTTCTAGGCTCATACATACGTCCACACGTGGGAAGTACACTACAGGTCTAGCAGCCATGGCTGAGGAGAGATTTTGCCGTTTTGGAGAAAACTCAACGCAGAGCAACCGCGAATGTCAAAGGCTTGAAATACTTACTATATAGACAAAGCTTGAGAGTGCTCTGGGTCTTAAGCGGGTGATACCGACGTTTGCATGGGGCCCTTATTTTGACTTGCCAGATTTTGAGAGAACCGAACCACACGTGGCGCCACTTGCTGAAGCTCAGTCACAACAGTAATCTAAGAGTCCACCATCTCAAGCTGGTAGAGCAGTACAATTGTTTGGAACGCCGTCGAAATTCCTTTTCCGTACGCCTTTGTCAAGCGCGGTATGCCTTACCGGAATCTGTCATCAGTGCTCCTACGTTGGCGTAGTTCAAAGCCCGAGGGGATTATGCGATCATTTCGTAGCACCATCTCACATGACTCATTGCCTATGAGCAAACAAGAGCGTCTGTTAAATGTTGCATTGCAAGTCAGCTCCCAGAATACATTCTATCAGTTTTATCTCATTCACCTTTTTAATGGAACCATTGAGCAATGGTTTTACACGGGCAAAAAGAACCTGTAGCTTAAAAGGTCCCGCAGGATGATCATAGTGAAAATACAAAGTATAAGAAAAATTGCCAGCAAATTTCATCATTATATCATCATTATACACATCAGCTAGAGGTGGGAAAACACCTCCGCTATTGTGCCGCAATACATGAAGGAAATACATACATACATATAATACAATACACAAAGGAGAAGTAGATACAACAGTTGCATGCCAGCTGAGCTACCAGCAACGGATAGGCATCGTTCCGGTAAGCTTCCAGCCAGCTACTAGGCAAAAAGAAGAAAAAAATTAAATTATGTTTTACCCTAGAAAATGAGATCGTAGATGGATGGGGAGGCTAAAAGGGATGGGGAGGGACAAAGCAACTCACAGCAGGAACGCCACTGGGGTCGGCTCCTTGCCATGTCAGCAAGTGTATCCAGCCAAACGTGTTCACCGTCTTTTGGACCCCAACCACGGAGCTGTGACGCCCCAACCAAGGCTAGCTCCGAAGTGATGGACTTCATTCCCCTGAACCAAGTCATCGCTTGGCCACCTCTCCTCTTCTTCCACCCACATCCCCGGTGAGCAAACAACGCACGTCGAAGGAGTCGGTGGGCTGGCATGCGTAACACGTGGCCGAGCCATCGGAGCCTGGTGCGTGAAATAACGGTGCTGTGCGGTTCAGATCCTTTTCCTGTACCATAAACAATGCGTCGAACACGCTCGTTACTCACACGGTGTTCCCACCATATGTGAGCCAAACTGCGAAGGCACCGGTGGTCGAACGTAACTAGCCTCTTCAAGTCCGCCGACCTTAGGGGCCAGGTTTCGCAACTGTACGGTAAGGTCGGACCTACCGCTGCATTGTACACTCTACCCTTCAGGGCGATAGTGATGTCGCGCCGCCGCCATAGGTGGCGAAGGTTAGCAAAAGCACCGAGCTTTCGCTACACGGTTCGTGATCTCGTC